TGTTGATGTGAATCTAAACGCTTAATTGCTGGTCTCTGCCTACAGATGCGGCTCCAGAGGCCCGACAGGGGCCAGAGCGGCCTGTCAGTGATGGATTGTGGTGTGTGCGGGCCCAGCCAGCCGGGGGCCAATGACTTCCGACAGAAGACGTGCCTGGTGTGGAGGAATGTTCAGGTTGCCAAACTCCTCAGTCTTGCTTATGTTTTGCATTTGGGCCCATTTTTGTTTACGTATGAGGCAGTACCAGAGATGAAAAGGCCACACTTATCTTCGAGTGACACGGAGCACAGTCTTCAGCCTTTTATTTTTTAATCCTTTCTCACCAAGATCAGAAGCTCTGGGGTGACCATGGCCTATTCCTGGACTTCCACAGACCACATTCCGACATGCCACCCTGGGAGACAACAGTCCGTGTGCTTTCCCCATTTCTTGTGAGCAGAGGCACTGGCTGCCTCTGTCCCAGAATTGCTTCAAGAATGTTCATGTAGAGAACGGCCTCGGAAGACAGAGGCAGTGTCCCCTCCAAAGCAAAGGGCAGGCTTGCTTAATTGTCCAGGCTGGCAAAGATAATGCTTCCTTCTGGGGCGGGAGTCAGCCAGGGGTGCTGATTGAATATGGTAAAAGATTCTCTGCTGTGATATGAACTCACTGCACGTGCAGTAGCCACATGAGCCCCTCGGCATCATCAACATGGAATGATTTGATGCAGATATGCTGGTGCTCATTCTGCCAGTTGTGTCGTGAGCAATAAGGTCCTTTGTCTCTGACTCAGGAGTGTGATGTCTTTTCCCATCATCCTTACAACCATGGCTGGCTTACGTGTTATTCTGTAGGTGAGGAAAATCTCAAACCCTGGGTTCTAGATGCCCCCTGCCTTCACTGGATATCAACCCATTATGTTTTGCTCCTGTCTTCAGGCTGCTCCTATTCTCTGTATGAACGTTCTTGAAGAGATTCTGGGACAAGGGCAGCCTGTGCCTCTACTCACACAAGTGGGAAAAGCACATGGACTTCACCAAGTCTGTCTTCACCTGCTCTCCTCACACACCTTGTTCTCTATCCACATCCACTAGTCCACGGAATGTGATTCAAGTAGAAGATTAAAACAGCCACAGGAGGGGCACCTGGGTGGCTCAGTCAGTTAAGCGTCTGACTTCGGCTCAGGCCATGATCTCACGGTTCATGGGTTCAAGCCCCCTGTTGGAGGATGGATCTTGCTTCAGTTTCTGTGTCTTCCTTTCCCTCTCCCCCTCTCCCGCTCCCACTCTGCCTGTTTCTGTCTCTCAAAAATAAATAAACATTAAAAATATTTTTTTAAACAGCTACAGGAAAACTTAAACAAAAAAGTAACGTTTTCTTTGCACATTTGACTGCATCAGTGTTAAATTTGGGATGGTTGTTACCCACGAGAAGAACCCCCTTAGAAGAGCCCCCCTTTGAAGCCAAGCTTCCCAAAGGGGCCACTTAGATTTCTTTAAATACATTCCACCAGCCATTAGCCTGTTTGTAACTGTGTCCTCCACGGGCCAGGAGCATTTTGTAAAGGGCATGGCTGTGGTGGCTGGTAAAGAAGGGAAGTGCTTTCTGCCCAATGACTCACTAGCAGATCCTACTATGGAACTTCGCATGGATTCCCCAGTACTTTGGGGATGTCATTCGAGGACCCGAATTGAAATACAAACTCTGAAAACATTTTTACTGCCCTCCAAATGAAGGAAAGGACATCTGTGGTGACAGGCATGCCTGAAGAAGTTTCAGGGCTGCCTGGGGCAGGGCAAGTGTCTAGTTCATTCTCATAAGAATAAAAATTAACAAGAGAAATAAAACCAACTTTTACTTTTGGTGAAAAATACACTAGTTAAAGAATTTAAGTGGTGAATATTATTTTTATGACTACTAATAGAACCTTATAGAATAGTGGTCCTCGGTGGGGCAATTCTGTCTCTGTCCCAGAGACATCGGGCAGTGTTTAAAGGGACTTTTGGCCATGTTCTTTAACTAGCATCTCACAAACATCCTGGGCATTAGACAGGCAGGTGCAATTGGACCCATTTTACAGAGGTGATGGCTCTCTCATTCACTGAGGCTCAGAGACGACAAGAGACCTGTCCAGGTCCCCACAGAGCAAAGAGCAGGTTATCAGGGCTTTCTAAGGGTCCAGTTCCATTAGTGTCTTCTTGCCAGGGCACAAATATTATTTTCACTCAGTGTTTTTATTTTTAAAGGAATAAAAATTTCAACATTTATTGAGAGTCAACTATGCATCAAGCAAAGAGAACACAATCTTTGCTTTTAGGGAGGTTACAGTCTGGGAGGGAAGTAGTTAACAAACAAGGTAATATGTAAACCAGACTGTCCCTCACATAATGAGTGATGAGGGCTAACAGAGCAAGAGGAAGAAGCCTGGAAGGGGAGGTGGAGTTGCAGACACTGAATTGAGGAAGTTCGATACTGTGGCCAGGCACAACCTCAGGGAGGTGACTGTTTTTCCCCCAACTTTATTGAGGAATAGTTGACAAATATGCTTCTATTGATTGATTGATTAAAATTTATTTATTTATTTTGAGATAGAGAGAGAAAGTGCAAGTGGAGAGGGACAGAAAGAGAGAATCCTAAGCAGGCTCCATTTTGTCAGCACAGAGCCCGATGGAGGGTTTGAATTCATGAGCTGTGAGATCATGACCTGAGCCGCAATCAAGAATTGGAGGCTTACTCGACTGAGCCATCCAAGTGCTCCCTGGTATATATTTAAAATGTACACTGTGAGGATATGATATCCATATGCATTGTGGAATGATTACCGAGACCCAGATAATTAACACTCATCATCTTACATAGTTAACTCCTTTTGTGTGTGTGTAAGAACTCTCAAGATCTACTTTCAGCAAGTTTCAGGTATACAGACCATATTATTAGCTATAGTCACCATGTTGTTGCATTAGATCTTCAGAACTGATTCTTTTTATAACTAAAAGTTTGTATTCTTTGATCTGCAACTCTATTTCCCCCTGCTCTCAGCCCCTCACAACACCATTCCATTTCCTGTTTCTATGAAAACTCACTAGCAAACCCCCCAAATAATCCTATTTAAAATGGGCAAAGCGGGGCGCCTGAGTGGCTTAGTCGGTTGAGCGTCCGACTTTCGCTTAGGTCATGATCTCGCGGTTCGTGGGTTCGAGCCCCGCGTTGGGCTTTGTGCTGACTGCCAGCTCAGAGCCTGGAGCCTGTTTCGGAGTCTGTGCCTCCCTCTCTCTCTGACCCTCCCCTGCTCACGCTGTCTCTCTCTCCCTCTCTCCTAGAAATAAATAAAAACATTAAAAAAAATTTTTTAAATGGGCAAAGGGCCTGAGTGGACATTTTTCTGAAGAAGACATACAAATGGCCTAGAAGTGCCTGAAAAAGTGCTAAACATCACTAATCATCAGGGAAATGCAAATCAAAATCACAATGAGGGACACCTGGGTGGCTCGGTCAGTTAAGCATCTGACTCTTGATTTCCACTCAGGTCATGATCTCAGGGTTTCATGAGTTCAAGTCCCTCATTGGGCTCAGCGCTGGCAACGAGGATCCTGCTTGTGATTCTCTCCCTCCCTTTCCTCCCCTTCTCTCTCTCTGCCCCTCCCCCACCCATCCTTTCTCTGTGTCTCTCAAAATAAATAAACTTAAAAAAAATTGAAACAGTATTTGAGTAAAGATCGAAAGGAAGTGAGGGAGTGAGACATGTAGCTGAGGCATGTGCCGACCTGAGGAAGAGGTCCCAGGCTGAAGGAGAAGCAGGTGCAAAGCCCCTGTGGTGGGGTAGGCCTGGTGTGCTTAAGGAGTCAGTGTAGCTGACTGAATGCACTGGGGAGAGAGAAAGCAGAAGGAGATAAGACCACAGATGTGAGTCAGGGGAAAGTCGGGAGAAAATCACAGAGACACTGGAAGTCATTTGAAAGACCATAACTTTCATCAGAGAAGTAGGGAACCACTGCAGACTCTGAGCAGAGATGTGATAAAATCTTTGAATTTTAACTGGGTCACTGGCTGCTGTGTGGGGACTACATGGAAGGAAAGAGGCAGCAAATTTGCTCAGCTTCATTTTTGCCAGTTCTAATTTCCTCAAATGCTTTTTTTTTTTTTTTAATTCTGTGATGATGTGAATGAGGAGGAAAAGTACAGTTGCACAGGAGCATACCAAGGAGAGCCTAAAGCATGGGATTCATCGGTCAGGAGAGAAAAAGAGATGGTGGCTGTGAGGGAGGAAGACGTTGGCCAAGCCTTCCCACCACGTGGCTGGGACTCAGAGCAAAGGTGTGCTTGCAGCCCAGGACATCAGAGCATCTACAGCTCTCCTGTGCAGACAGAGGCTATGTGGCTGGAAGGTGAGATCACATCCTCCGGGATTAGCAGGCCTTCTCAGAAACATTCAGAAAATTATTCTCCTCTGATTAGTTTTCATTTCATCATGGTTTATTTGTCATTACTTTACCTGTTTTAGTCAAAAGTTCACAGCCTGTTTATATTAAGACATAAGGCTTTGAACCTGGGATTCTCAGGGGCCAAGTCTAAACTTTTTGCTAACTAGTACTGATGTTTGTCAAGAAAGCCACATCCTCAACTCAACAGAGCAAGGCTTTGGAACAAAATCTATTAAATCATTCTTCAGTTTCTTGGGATGAAGTCGATTTTCCTCCATATCATGAAACCAAAAATATAGAAAAGTGTGGTCCATTAACCCATTTTTATTTCCTGAGAATAAAACCAATCAGGTTCAAGATGTGCTTGTGTGGCTGGTCCTCAGAGGAGGAGAGATTGGGGTGTTCCCTGAGTGCTCTTGGGGAAGATGAGGCTTGGGAATCAAGTGCTCCCTCCCAATAGGAGTCTTTGGAACATGCTTATAGAATCAGCTTACTGTCCGAGAATCGCCGTGATTTTCTGAGGCAGAGACATTTCCTGTCAGTGTCATGTAAAACCTGAGTAAGACTCTCCAAGCTCGCAAGTCAGATTTGAATGCCAAAGTGCTTACTTCGACAACACTTCTACAAAAATTGAAACAATATGGAGAAGATTTGCATGGCCCTTGTGTAAGGATGACATTTAAATTTGTGAAGTTCTCTGTATAAGGAAGGAAGGAAGGAAGGAAGGAAGGAAGGAAGGAAGGAAGGAAGGAAGGAAGGAAGGAAGAAAAATTGGTCCCTGATGCATTTTGCATAGTTGGTCTTCCTGGAGTTTGGGAGAAAAATGAGATTTGTGCCCAGTATGAAAACAGAGAGGTTACACATAAAAGTCCAGGTTCCCTTGAAAACTCAGAACATCTGAAGAAACTGGCCACACTTTCAGTATGGGGACAGTGATGGGGAGGTGAGCAGCAGTCCCCACGCTTCAGTTCCCTTTGCCTCATGGCTCCCTTTCATGTCCCCATGAAAGGTCGGTGCTCTCATACCATCGTATTTGCATTGTTTCCCCTTATAATAGAGAAATAGTCCTCTGTAACCATGTTTCTGTCAAAAATGGTAAATTAGGGGTGCCTGGGTGGCTAGGTTGCTTAAGAGTCTTGACTCTTGATTCCAGCTCAGATCATGATCTCCCAGTTGGTGGGTTTGAGCCCTAAATTGGGCTCTGCACTGACAGCATGGAGTCTGCTTAAGAGTGTCTCTCTCCCTTTCTGCCCCTTCCTCCACTTTAACTAAACTTGAAAAAAAAAATTAAGTGATAAATTAAAGGGGGCACAAGTTTCAAGAAAAAATTTTTTGTGTCTATTCTTTGTGGAAAGAAGTACCCGCCCCCTGCCCCACCGTGGGTCGGTGCACATTCTGGCTGCTGGGTTTCCTTCTGCCCTGCTGATCCCCCATTCTGTGCACCACCAGGCCCTGCACCCCGAGAGTGTGCACTCCATGGTTCACCGACTCTCATGCCTGTGTGATGAGAGGCCAAGGCTCCCTCGGTGGCCAGTTAGGGTCCTGGCATGTGGAGCCTCTTGACCACTGAATGCCTGGCTTTGGTACAGCCAGACTTTCACAGTCATGAGGGCAAAGGGGCTGAGAACCACAAGGGTGTTTGGGTAATGGCGTCAGCGGGAAGCTGGGCCTCTCTGACAAGCTATAACAGTGACCCCATGACACCAGATTGTGAAAATGGATCATTTAGGATCCCAGCCTCTCTGAGCTCATTTCCCTCTCCGTACCAGGAGATGCTCATCCCTGTCCCCTCTGGTACCACCGATCTCTTGTGTCACCAAATAAGAGAGGAGGCACGTGGGGATTTTGAAAACTACTAAGTTCTCCCAAGTAAGAGTAATTCCTAGGAAAGCAGGGTTGTGAATGTGGGGCTCCTGTGAAGTCAGGGCAGTGGGGGTGGGGAGCAGCTTGCATGCTTGTTCTGCTGCTCCCTGCTGCTCTGGGGAACCCCAAGCCTGGTGCTGGTCCTCACCCTGGTGTCGGCTCCTGCATTAGCTCAATGCGACCAACGTTCTGTTTATGAAGAAGCACATGTACCTTACTTACTTTGTATGTGTCCTGAACCTTTAATTTCTAATAGAATCTGTTACTTCCCTCTGCTGTGTCTGGCATGTGGTGGGTGCAAGCCACCTGGACAGAAGTGTTCTCAAAAAGCAAAAGCCCCCAAATCTAATCTCTGTTCATCCTTTCTTCTGCCGGTCCATCCCCCTGACCCCTGGGCACCTGGGGAGAACATCCCTCAGGAATCCCCCAGAATGCTGCCCAGTCCTGTTCCCTCCATTTCAGAGGTAATGTTTCCACCATTTCCTGCAGGAGATTTGGCCCCACTTTATTATCTCTGACATTTACAGCAGGAAGATTGGGGTCGCCAGAAATCCTGGGCTGGGAAATGGGGCACCGACTTACACAGGGAGACTTACAAGGCCAGTAGAGAAGTCCCAAGCAACTCAATCCCCAGAAGGTATCTGAGGATCAATAAAGCGGTAATGACCACATAGCTGAGGCTGCTGGAGCCTGTTTACAGAGTCATTCCTCGGAGCCTGAGCCAGTGATTTACAGCAGTCCCTGCTTCAGATGACACACGGAGGCCAGAGCTTTGTGGCTCTCAGAAACACTGACAACTCGCCCCGGGGGCACAGGGTGGGGGTGGGGGAGGGGCCCAGCTCTGTCTCCCCACACTGACTCTCCACCTCCCTCCTTTCCTCTCTCCCTTCTGTTCTTTTGAAGAACAGCCTTATTGAGATATAATTCACATTCCATATGAGTCACCTAGGTAAAGTGTACAGTTCATTGGCTTTTAGTATATTCACAGAAGTGTGCAACCATGATTACAGTCAACCTGAGAATAGTTTCCTCACTTCTCCCCAAATCTCATACACATTAGAAGTCACCCTTCTTCCCCAGCCATGACACCATCATGGGGCAACCACAAATCGAACTTTCTGCCTCAATGGATTTTCCAATTGTGGACATTTATATAAATGGAATCATGCAGTACACGGCTGGGCTTCTCACAATTGGTATAATGCTTTTAAGGTTCATCCATGTTGTCGCATATGTCAGTACTGCATCCATATGTGCTAGCAATTCTGTTCCTAGGCATAAAACCAAGAAAAATAAGAATATACGTCCACACAGAAACTTGTGAATGTGTGCCCATAGCAGCATTATTGATAATAGCCCCAAAGCAGAAACAACTTAAAAATCCAAGTGATGAATGGACACACAAAATGGAATCTATTTAATGGAATATTATTTGCAAATAAAAAGAATGAAGTATTATGTGCTATGATATGGGCGAACCTTGAAGATATTATGCAAAGCAAAAGAAGCCCATCACAAAACACCGCTCATTCTATGATTCCATTTATGTGAAATGCCCAGAAAAGACAAATCCCAATAGACAGAAGGTAGATTTGTGGTTGCTGGGGCGGGGGGAGGGTGGTGGGAAGGGGACCCAGTGACTGCTAATAAATACTGGCTTCCCTTCTGGGCTGATGAAAATGCTCCAGAATGACACGAGGTGCTGGCTGCACAAGCTGGTAACTGTACTAAAGTCACCAAACTGTTCATGTTAGATGGGTGACCTTTCCAGTAGGTGAACTATACCTCAACGGAGAGTATACAGGAATAGATGAAGGAAAAAGAAGAAGTGAAGGAGACTGAGCGGGAAGGGCTTGTGTTTTGGAGGAGATGGCAAAGACCCAGCTCTCCCTGTCCTCTCTGCTAAGCAAGGCTTTGGGCTCTGGAACTAACACAGCAGGCAGTCACCCAGCACACTGACAGGTGGGAAGAAGGAGAAGTGAGGCCCCAGGACTGGGGAAGAACTCAGTGGCACAGTGTCTTAGGTCCCCATCCCCTCCAGCCAAAGAAGGAGACCCAGACCCAGTGTTTCCCACTCCCCACCTAACACAGAAGGCACCCAGTGGGCTCTTCTCTTCCTGTGTGGAAGGAGAGTTCCTATAACACCACATGCCAGGGAGATCAATCAGGAGCCCCATTCTCAATAAACAGCCAAGGGCAGAGCTCTCTACCCCACCCTTGAGAAGTAGCTCCTCCACTGATAGGCTTCCTGGATCTGGGGGCTTAGGCAAGAGGGACCCCCACACACACACACACAGCTACCTTCTTTGTCCCCAGAGGGCTAAGACCCTGTTCTACCACTAGAAACCCTAGGGCAACTGGGAGTCACTATCACAATAAAGGAATCTTGTCATAATAAGCATCTGGCCAAAGAAACCTCTTGTCCCCTTGGACGTGAACTCCCCTACCTGCCAGGAGACATCGGTGTCCCATCTGGAGACACACCTGTCTCCTCAGGTAGCACCAGCAAGGCTCAGTGGGAGCCCCAGAAGCACCAGATAAACAAGCAGACCTAAATGAGACAGCAAAAGCCCTGACAATTAAACTGTCATTGGAACCACAACCCACAAAATAGGCTAGTAGCTGTGTGCTAAAACTAAATAGAGTAACTGCCTCATAAATAAAAGATTGAAATAGGTTCCAGAGTCTTTTACTATCCATCAACCCACTTCTATGTGGGTGTGACTGAGTCCAACCCTGCCACTGAGCATTTCTGGCAACTCAGGGTTGTGTTTTGTTGTTGTTGTTGTTGTTCTTAAATTTTTTCTTTTATTTTTTTCCATATTCAAAATTATACACATGCATTGTAGAAAATCTGGAAGATGGATATAGTGAAGAAATTGTAAATCACCTGTAATACTCCCACTCAGAGAAAATGCATGTAGTGTGTGTGTATTGTTATTATCTATATATCTTTCCAATCTCCATGTCTTTATATGTAAAAAGGAAGATTTTCTCTTTTAAATAATGTTTTTTAATGTTTATTTACTTATTTTTGAGAGACAGAAAGATTGCGACTAAGTGGGGGAGGGGCAAAGAGAGAGGGAGGCAAAATACTAAGCAGGCTCTATGCTGTCAGCACAGAGCCTGATGCAGGGTTTGAACCCATGAAGCATGAGGTCATTACCTGAGCCAAAACCAAGAGTCAGATGATCAACTGACTAAGTCAGCCAGGTGCCCAAGGAAGCTTTTCTCTTACAGAAAATACCATTATTCTGTGTACAACATATTTGTAACTTGCCTTCTCCTATGGAGTATATTTCTTCTCTAAATCATTAAATGTTCTTTCCATATCTTTTCTAGTCACATATATTTAGTGACATTTCTGTAAAGAATGTGTATCAGTTACTTTTGGACCAGCTACCCTTGACACAGTACACCATGGGTACGCAATAAATGTTGGGCGAATGAACTGATGAAGCTCTGTTGCCCGGCTGAGGGCTACCATGCCTGATGAGTCTCTTTATTGGGCATTTCACTTGTCTCAGCCCAGTCCTGTAAAGAAAGGCCTGTGTCCAGCCTTGTGGGAAAGCATCAGGCACTGGCTAGAGTCATGGCTCCCATGTCGAAGATTCTCTCCTGGGCAAGAGGTCCTTCCACTCCAGTGTTTCCAAGTGGAGACTGACTCAGGCTTGGTCCCCCAGATCTCTCAGAAAGGAAGGCCCACTCCTGGTCCACTGACGGAAGACTTGCTTCAATCACAGACAACTTGCAATTCTGCCTTCTCATCCTGACTCCTTCCTGGCCATTGTGTCTTTGCTCAAATTGTGTTTCAATCTGAAACATCCAGCCTGCATTTCCCATT